ATGGACTTCACACATTGATAGTAAACTTATCAGTTTAAAACATTTTATTATTATTATCCTGGCTAGGATATCAGTCCTGGTTATGTTTTCTAAAACTGTATTAAAAGACGTGTATCTTTATAACATCTCTACATTGTTGCAGAAAACATATTTAATAATGAAAACAAAATTTGAAATTACAAATAAAAAGTTGATTTACTGAGATATTTCCAGTGTATTGCAATATTGTTATAACAGAAAATGTTTTTGCTATATTTTGCTGTGTGCTTCCACAAGAGAAAGTAACTGTATTATTTTATGTGTTAAACGAATGCATAAAATAATTTGTAATTGTGAGTATTATAACTTAGGTTTGCATTTCAATTACATATAACTTCTTTCAAAGAGCAGACAGCATTTTAGACTTAACATTGTAACTAATAGTAGTGATGGAATATTACTTTAGTTAAATTAATAGTATGACTAGTTTCAAAGATAAAACCTTGACCTAGTTATAGATGACACACATCAATCCTAGAAATGATGATTCAGATAGTTAAGAATAAAATGTGTAAACTAATGATGATAGCTGATTTTCAAGCCATTTATTATGTATCACTGAACAAATATAAAAGGTATTTTTGTTAATACACATGTTCATAAGATTTTTTGGCATCGTGTGGAAATGTATAACACAAATATAATAATAGTTCTTTTAAAAATTTTAGAAATATTTAATTAATGTATTAGATGGAGAAATTGTAGATGTAAGATTAAATCTAGAGAAATTTAGACAAAACACTTAAAATTTCAGTAGACTTATTGCTTAAAGTATTGTAGTTTGGGTTATAAATGCCTACCCACTGGCATTTCTGATTTTCAAAAGATTTTATTTAACACATGGCACCATATAAGTCGTATCTATTCATATTTCTTATCATTCATGTACACCTCTGCCTTAGTACAGAGTGATCATTGGAATTTATGACTTAAAAGTACACTAAAAATGAGGTAATATCATAGACAATTTGAGCATAAAAAATTACCCCATTACACCTGTTTTGAATGTTAACATGGTATTCGTAATACATCTCTGCCTCAATACAAAGTGATCATTGAAATTTATGACTTAAAAGTACACTAAAAATGAGGTAATATTATAGACAATTTGAACATAAAAAATTACACCTGTTTTGAATGTTAACATGGTATTCGTAACATGTTTTGAATAGTTAGTATCTGTCTACTTTTTGATTGATGACTTTGATTTGATTAATCAGTGCTTAATCTGAATAATTTTTGATGTTTTAAATATATTACCAATACTATACCTTCTTGTAATATGGAGACTGGATATATTTTATTCAGTTTAAAAAATGTTCCCAAAACTGTTTAGTTCAGTTAATGTTGCAAAAACACGTCTATGTGGTCTTTTCCAATTCACACATTTCCCTTGTAGTAATCAGTTGGGGCTTGCTAACTGGAGGTTCAGAGGATGGTGAGTTATGGGATACGAGTTGGTTTATTTCTCTGATCTATAACTGAATTATTCTAGAATAAAATGTAGAATCATTAAAGGTGTATAATAATAGTCTTTAATAATACTAGTTATGGTGTGAATGCCTTTTCTGAGATTCACCAGCTTAAAAAAAGGAGTTCATGCCATAACAATTCTTATTGTAACAAATAGCTCAAATAAATTTTCTTCTGACCACTGCTGTGTTTGTTGTTCCTAGCTGGCCTGATGAACTGTGTCATCAGAATAGATATGCTCACATAGTGTGGTTCAAATACTTAGATACACTCTTCTTCATGAAAAACACAAGGGGCTGATAAAGAATATAGTGTTTAAAAATACAATAGACTGATGTGTTATGACAGGTATTGTTAACTTTGATAACACTACAAAAATGATCACAGTTAATATCACAAAACATGATAGGAACTAGTGGGTCTATTGTAGCTGTGTTGGGCTGGTGAGAGAGATAAAAGGGAAGTGGAACTTCTTTTATGAGCTCTCTCTCACCAATCTAGGGTGTACCCCCAAGTAAGGTAAAGTACAACACTGTAATATTTAAGTTAAACCCAAAGTTAAGTTGAAATAAAACAATATTTTGCGACATGAGTTAAAATATTCTACTTAACCTCTAAAACAAAGATAATTATGATGAAGGTAAAATCTCACAAAAATTCTAAAGAAAAATTAAATGTCTTACCAATATTTTAGTTCAGTTACATTTATATATTCTATGTCAAAAGTAAAGTTACAGTTCAAGTTTAGAAGTTCAATCAAATTTCTGAAAAATCTGCCAAACGGAGAAAAACTTGACTTTTAATACAAAACTTACGACAACTTAATCCAGGTTTGCATGTGAAACACTACCCTGCATGTGAACTCTGTCTATTTGTGCTGGGGCAGATAAAACTCAGGAGAAATTATCTGATTCACTAATAGAAAAGACAGCTTTCTATTCCTGTATGTTATATGTTATCATCCCTGCAAGAAACTGTTAATTGCCAATTAGAGCATGAGGTCCAAGATAGAGCAGGCAAGAAGCAAAGTTACAATATGTCTACTTGGAAGACTTTTTCATATCCAAACCAAACTGAAAGAAAATACTGAAGTTTAAAACAAATTAACATATTAAATAAAAGAGTAAAAACAAACATGGTACTGTTCTTTACCACCTTTCTTCCTCCTGGCTAACCTGACCATCCCTAATTCTAAAACTACCAAAAAAAAAAAAGAAATATCAAATTTTAGTCATGTTACTCTAGAAATGATATAACTTGCCTCTCTTGTAAAACCATTTGCCTAACAATAAAAGACAGTACTATAAAGTAAAAAGACTAAAAAATGAAACAGAAATAAACCTTTTAGCAATACAGTTCAAGCTAACTTTTAACACTTGAGACATCATACCTCAAATTAATACAAAATAACCTTTTAATAATGAAACCACATACCTTACAAAAATTTGTATCCCATCATCGAACATTTGCACTTTCAGCTGTGGGCGAGCTATAATGTGCTGGTCAATCCCACTATTTGTTTGTGAAGAGTAGCTCAAGAATTGGTAGTTGGTGATATCAACTGGCTGCCTTTCCTATAGTCTACAAAATTCAACAGAAGAATGAATGAAACCATACAAAAAATAGACCATTTAATGAACCTATTTTTCAGTGCTTTAACACAAAAATAAAGCACCTTTAAACCCCTGTGACACTTTACACATCAAAATACACTTTAAATTTAAATTGTACTAAGTACGCTTAAGTAAAGTTACACAAAATAAAACTATATTTGCAAGAACATTTGTACAAGGTACCTTGAAGAAACTTTACATCTATGCATGTGTGTGTATATATATGCACACAAACAGGTAAAGAAAAACCTGTAAGTTTTTTTATTTCTTGCACCATAAAACGAGGTGCTGTTCTCATTTCATGGTAAGTGTCAGTATTGTGGAGTTTGCTTTTCACTGAGCCTTCTATTAACTTTTTCAGGCACATCATTTTTCTTCTCTTTTATAACATCATCATGATTTCCTGGGTGAAAATTGCTCTCATGTTCTTTATTTTTTAATTCTGGGACTTCCTTGTTTTTTCTTTTCTTTTTGATTGAAACAATTTTTTCAAGCATGTTATGTTTTGTGAGGGTTTTGCAATCAACTTGCTCATAGTTTGACAACAAAATTTTTCTTTACAAGTATATGTTCTAAATCCATAGGCTGTAGGTATGAGTACTATAAATCAGTGTTGGTCTCGCCAATTCTTTTATATCTAAGTACTTTTCAATCACCCTGATGAGTTGTTGTCTTTATTGAAGACTTTCATCTCCAGGTCTTTTTCGTTACAATTAATACAGTCTTGGCCATCAGATTAACACAAGAGGAGTTGATTCACTACCACTTGGGTGCACTTTTTGTGAGCCGTTTTTCTACTATATGGGTTTATCAGTCTATATAGTCAGTCTGTTGCTTTTGGTTTTAAAGGGTTTTTTTTTTCCCAACATTTCATTGGGCCTCTTTTTTTTTCGTTTCATGTGATTTCTGCCTCATTTATTATCAGGCTATATGTTCCCCATATCAGCAATTCCTGGTTTTAGAACTGCCCTGTCAGCAACTGTTTGATATTTGCCTAGTCTATCTTCCTTTGTTTTCATATGTAATATTGACTTGATCCAGTCTTTTTCTATCTGTGAGAAAAGAAGTTTGAATAAGTCACAGTATCCTTTCCAATTGCCATTGAGCTTGAAGAAAGACAAGTTACTCTCCTCTACTTTTGTAAACGATTTTATTAGTTTTATGCTACAAAAGAAGTGTAATCAAACTGTACATATGCTATTACACAATTTCCAGCTGGTACATGTAAGATGTTAACTAAACATCGTATTCCTCTATTTGTGTACTGCTCCATTGCCTTATGACTTGAATAGGCACAATTTCAGCTAGGCTGTGTAAGTGTACTGCCACATTGGATATAAGTTTTATACTGTACCAGCAAGACCATGAATATTGGAGGCCATGATAATACAGCAAATTTTGCTCTCCTGTCAGTAGAGATTGTTGTCTTATTCTAGTTTATTCAGTGTAATAAAGTGAATTTTTTGCTTCCTTTTCTATCACTTTAGGTAGTGCATTCTTTTTATCTTTATAGAAATATACAATCAAAATGTTAAATAAAATATAAATTTTTATTTTTGTCAGTGACAGGAAAGTGAACTAATTTTTATTCCAGTGATTTTCCAATAAAATAATTTTCTTTGAATGAAAAGATTTATATGTTTTTTTTTCTCTTTTTGTTGTAATAAAAAGCAGATTTTGATTGGTATTATAATTAACATACCTTTCTTCATATTTTGATTCTCTGTTCTCAAGTCTGTTAAACACTAGTTTTGGCTACTTCTATGAAAATTTTCAATTATTCTTCAATCTACATTTCAAAACAACTTATTGTTTGACATCAATTCAGAACTTGTTCAAAGGTAACTGTGTGGTCACATGTTACCTATATTGCAGTTTCATGTGCAATACCATCTCTTCATGACTGTACATGTACATAATGCAGGAAGTAAAAGCCACACTGGATGGTGTTTGATATGAATTTATCTAAACCTGCTTTACTTAAAAAGTTAAGTATGTTTTTCATGTCTAATATTTTTAAACCCTGCCTAGAAATTTTTATTTTATCTATACATTTAGTATCAAACTGTTGGAAAGGTATGTTGTGTTTCCTTTTAATGTTCATGATCAAAATATCTGTCAAAACAAATGAAAACAGCAGTTGTGATATCCAGGACAGTGATTTTTAATTTCATCAAATTATTTGGCATGTAGCATAGTGCTCATTTGTTTGAAAAAATACCTAAAGTTCAACAACTTCATGTTACTCTTTCACACATAATATTTTTTGGTTGTTAAAGGGTGAAAATCTCTCATTCCTTAATGATTGTTATACCTCTCTTGTACTTTATGATGTTTGTATGTTGTTCCTTAAGTAATCAGCTTTTCAAAATATGTTATAATTTTTTTCTCCAACATATTTCCTATTGTTTTATTTTGAAAGTTAATAATATAAGTTAATGAACTTAGATATACACGTGCAGTTAACTTTATGTAATTTTTTTTGTTTGTTTGTTTCTCAAGATGCATTTCATTCACTATGGGATATAATCTCTGATCTCAAATTCAATTCCTTAAAATAAGTTTGTTTTCCTTTTTTTTCAATTTAAGTGTATGTATGTGTAAGTGTATATACTTATACAGGGATTCCTATGGCTTTTCATGTTTTTGCCATCACTTTCTTTTTGTTCCACTTTCAAATTTTAGGAGCCATAATTTTTAAGTCAATTTTATATATTAATTCTAACTCTTTTTCAAAAATGTTTAACTAAAAAATACTGTAAATTGAAATTTTAGTGTTTTTTTTTAACATGTAGTTATTATAATTCAAATTTTCATTTGTGTTCAGCTTCAAGAAGTCTCACCCATAAACAATGCATTTGTCAACGTTTTTTAAATTTTTATGCCCATCCCAAGTAATAGCTTTAAATTTACTAAGAAACTATCATTCTTGAGAATATATTATCTATTTCTTAACTTTCAAGCTTCTCCCTTGTTTTTTTTTCTGCTTAGTTTTTGTACATGCCTTGGCTGCCACCCTTTTATGTGTTACATCAAGTGGTTTAATCATTTACTAATGAAACACAACTATGGAAACAGCTATAATGAAATAATAATACTTGGCAAATGAATCACTAATGTCAACTACCACCAAGTGGCCACAGCTGTTTCTTTTTAAAATATGTAGTAATCACACACTAATCTAATGTAAATAAAATAATGAAAACATGTTTTATTATTATCATTTATCAATAAGTGTATAATATTCTTTTTATTTTACAAAATCAAGATTGTACATTGTTTCAATAACATAAAAATAATACTTAAGAAAGATTTCAGCTATCAGAATATTTTTGTAATCACCTACCATACTCACTAAAAAATAAGCTTAATTAAACTTATTTAAATTGAAAACAATTTTATTCTATTTGGTAAACGTTATAGAAATACAAATACTTTCACAATTTACAAATGAAAAGAACTGAAAGGACATACTATAAAAAAATTAACTTTTATATTTACTGTTATGTGATAGTCTAATTCTTGCTCTATACAGTCATATTTCTTTACTAGTTCTATATATAAATTTACATTACTGTCATTTTAGTCTTGTCAAAAATGGAGGAGGGTCACAGACCTCCTCAACCCCCTTCCCTAGATCCACACCTGCTTATACAACATTTAATAATAGTTATTGATTTATTAAAGAAAAAATGGGGTACAGACCCCCTTCCTTAGATCTTCACCAGGTAACATGACATTAAATACAGTTATTCAATAAAATTAGAAACATGGCACAGTGTAAAAAAACAGTAAATTTACACACTATTTAACACTTGAGTAGCCAGGGAGTTAGTGGTGGGTGCCAGTAGCCAGTTGCTTTCCTTCTAGCCAGCAGTTCAAAATTAGTGATCGTGGGAGATAGCCTTAGTAACATGGCAATACAAAAGATAGGGTGAGCAAGTTTAGTAGCAATGAGGACCGAGCCTGAGACCCTCACATCATGAGCTCTCCACCCCCTAATTATGTAGCTTTGCATTTAACAACAAACATAATAGCAATATTTTGATTACTTAAATAGTTGGAATAATCAAAATTAATTGATTAATTGATTGTTGGAATAATTGGGAACACTTATTTCAGCTGGTGTATTTCCATGACATTAATTGATTATTATATTAGTTTACCCAGCTTTAATTCCAACATGAATGGTACTTCTTGGCATACCCCATCAACTATATAGATAGATACAAACTACCAACTGGTACTCTGAAAACCAAAGTGGAGTAAAGTATCTAATTTTTTGATAATTGTTTATTTCAATGGATGGGTCATAAAATTTTACAAACTTGTAAACAGTTAGTTTCATTTTGTGTAATAAATATGTACCATATAAAAACATGTGTACAGGAACAGGTACTCGCATGTTTTGTTGCCTTTTTTTTTTTTTTTCATTACCAGCAGTATAATGAAAATTCTATTTCATTCTTTTTAAAAGTTCTAGTAACAGATAATTAAACTTTTTTTTTTTTTCCAGATGCTTCCATGCAAAAATATTACTGTCAAAACTTGCTGATAAGCTGCAAAAAAAAGGAAAATGGATGTTAGATTAGAGTGACAGGTTCCATTTTTCAAGTGATAAAGAAATTTTCTCTAGTTATGGCTTCTAAGTCTCTTCCTATTACTATCGTTGATGTCCACCAGCTGGCTGCTGTAGTGAGGAATCAGATTGATACGGTAAGCATCTTACGATACATTCACAAGACTTGTATGTGTTGAACATTTTATAACTTGATTAAAATATTTAATAAACAAATTAACTTGTTTCCTGCTTTTACATCAAGTAATTAATAATCTTAATATCAAAGGTTAAATTGTAGCATGTAAATAGTATTTTAAAAAATATGACAATCTTTAATACAAAATTGCACTATATTTGACAGTTGTTAGCTAAATCATGAAAATGTATTTATTTATTTTTCTCTTTATTGTTGTTTTTTTCTTCTAGTTCTTCTAATTGCTTATAAATAGTTATGATTGTCTCCACCATAGGGAGAGAGACATATTTCAAATGTTTGTTCTTCTTCTTTCCAACAACTACAGTTGTGTGCCAGTCCTTTATTTATAGGCTGATACGCCCAGAAACCCTGTCATTTTATTTTATTTAAGTCTCTATTCTAATTTTTGGGGGTAAAGGTCAAATATTCCAAAAACCTTTTGGCACGCAGTTCCCTTATATTTCCCTCACTACAAGTTAGTCTTGATACAAAGATATCTTATGACAATTCCCACAGTCTTAAGCAGACATGCATGAGACTTGGACCTTTCTTGCAATTTTACATGGTTCAAAGGTCAAAATATTTTGCAGAATTAGGGATCTGATCATTACTCTATATTGTGACCAATCAAGATGATACTTTACACAAAGATAGCTTGGAACAACCCTGCAATTTAGTATGCTACCATGCACCTTTTTAATGAAAAAGTCTCAAGTTCATACTGTGTTAATTGTTTATCTCTCTGAAGTATATATATTGTAGTTTATTCCACTGCATTGAATACCATTTTCTCTTGAAATTCTGAAGATCTTATTGAATCAAATGGATGAGGGGGGGGGATTCATATTTCTTGTAGATTTTGGCCTTTATGGTTGAGTTGTATATTTCTAACACATTTTTTTCTCTTAAAGTGAGATGTCTGATTATCCATGGTAAAAACTGTTCTAACAATGAAAAAACCAACTCATCAGCAATATAATGGAAGCAGTCTAGCTCATTTTCAAATTATTCTTGTTTTAAAATAATTGAATTATACTTAGTTTTCCTTAAATCTTTAATTCACTACTAAATAATTTATAGCTTAAATTATAAATGCATACATGTTTATCTTTTATAGAATTTCTTAGCAGGAGTCAGTTCACAGTTCACTTTTGGTGTTAAGTAGGACTTTTAATATTTTATCAGGTGCAACATTTTAGCACACTAGCATTTAATATTCATCATTCTTACATTTTCTTTCATCAGGATGACAGTAAAGCAGATGTGATAAAACATTGTTCCTGAGATAGCCACTACTAATATAATCTCTATTAAAAGTGAAATGATGTTTTATTTCTTCATCAAAATAATAACCTATTTATATCATGTATGTCAAGATAAAAAAAATGGAGTGCTGTACAATGGGTATTAATGAATAACACTATACATCAGTTATTTCTTTTACAGGTATTAATCATTGACAGTCGATCATTTCTTGAATATAATACCAACCATGTTGCCAGTGCTGTTAATGTTTGTTGTTCAAAACTTGTCAAACGTAGATTACAACAGGATAAGGTAGGTCCAAAATTTATCTCCATAAAAATCATTCTAGTTGTCTTGGTAGGTGTGTAATACATGGAAAAGAAATGTTTATCAAATTTATGAGGTATATCCTGAAATGTAAACTTCATTTCTATTGTTTTCTTTTCTTTCTTCTTTGTGGTAAATACTAAGCATTTACCTCATTGTTTTAAACTTCTTATGTTTATAACTATTCAGAAAAATTGATAATTTGTTAAATGTTCAGTAGCTATCCATACACTTGCAGAATGCAATTACTTTGCTATGGCATGGTTAGCACTTCGGTGTAAATTTCAGTTTGTTAAAGAGCCAATTTAATCTGTTCAGAAAAAGAAAACATGGCTCATAAAAATTTCATTACTTCATTTGTACCTCACCTCTCCAGCCATTCATTTAATCAGGCCCGGCATGGCCAGGTGGTTAGGGTGCTCAACTCGCAATCTTAGGGTCACGGGTTCGAATCCCCGTCCCACCAAACATGCTCGCCCTTTCAGCCGTGGGGGCGTTATAATGTTACGGCCAATCCCACTATTCGCTGGTAAAAAGAGTAGCCCAAGAGTTGGCGGTGGGTGTTGATGACTAGCTGCCTTCCCTACTAGTCTTACACTGCTAAATTAGGGACGGCTAGCGCAGATAGCCCTCGTGTAGCTTTGCGCAAAATTCCAAAACAAACAAACAAACAAACAGCTACATGATAGTCAAACTTGAGAGTTCGATATGTTAAAAAAAAAGAGAACGTTTTCCGTAAGAAAGCTTCACCAGGCCCTTTAACATTCCTGGGTATTCCAGAGACCTGCCGATATTAATAAGTTTTTATTTGATATGGTAAGGAAGTGATACTTGTTATTTCTCTATAACAAATAAATGCATCCCAATAAACATTTTTAGCACACTTAAACTATAACATATTCACTAGAGCTTTAGTGTCGAGACACTACGCAATCAGTCGAAGACTATTTCATACTATTTACTTACTTTATTTAGTAAGACTGTGGGTTAGCGTGTCGTCCATTTTAATAAGGTATTGCTTTCCGTTTTTTTCCATTTAACTTTTTTTATCACACAAGAACATATTTTGCATATTATTTATATATTGAATGTTTCCATCATATGACGAAAACATATATTATAGTCGTTTATACACTAACATTTTGTACTTATCTTGCATATTACTTTTCCTTTAACGTTTTATCTGTCACATGGCAAGATTATCTTATATACTGTAGCCTTTTTTTTATAAGGAAGTTTGGTCTGTCACATTGCGAAAGTATCTTATTTATTATAACCTTTTTACACCGAAGTTTTGTCTCTCTCTCATTCCTTGAGTATTTTGTTTATTTTAGCTTTATTACACCGAAGGTTTTTCTGTCACATTATGAAAGCATCTTATGTATTATAGCCTTTTTACACTGAAGTTTTGTCTCTCTTATTACAAGAGTATTTTATTTATCTTTTGATAGATTGTTTAGGCAGAGTATTCATGATGAAACTTTGTAGAATGGACGGCAACTGCCTTTTGTAAAAACACAAGTGTAGAGGACGACGTTTCGACCTGAAGACGAAAAGCGGAAGACTTTCGAAACGTCGTCCTGTACACTTGTGTTTCTAAAACTGGCAGTTGCTGGCCATTCTACAACGTATAAAATACTCTTGTGACAGACAAAACTTCGGTGTAATAAAGCTAAAATATATAAAATACTCTTGTAATGAGAGACACAAACTTCTGTGTAATAAAGCTAAAATAATTAAGAACTAAAATATTTTAGCTTTATTACACCGAAGTTTTCTCTGTCTCATTACGAGAGCATCTTATTTATTATAACCTTTTAAAACCGAATTGTTGTCTATCAAATTACGAGAGTATCTTGAGTATTGTAGCACGCTTTTTACACGGAAGTTTTGTCTGTCACATTTTGTCTTAACTATTGAATAGTCCTTTTTATATCGAAGTTTTGTCTATCTCACGACAAAAGTCTCTTAGCTATTGTTTTTCCTTTTTACATCAAGGTTTTGTCTATAACATGACGAGTATCTTATGTATTGTATATAATTTTTATATCGAGGTTTTATTTTCCCATAACGAGATGAGCTTATGTATTGTAGCTCCGTGACAATGAAATTTTGTCTACCACAATGAATAAATTATAATACCCAATGTTTTTGTTTTTCTTAGAGAGTTTATTTGTCAATTACGTTTTCGTGATACCCTAAAGCAGAAGAAAAGTATTTTACAGACGATTCGACACATTTTGCTGTTGGATGATAGCTGTCACTATACATTCAATGTTAATACGTTTGTGTTTTATACCGAAGCCTGTGCGTTTAAGTGGACAGGGCATAAATGTCCTAGAATGTAAAAAAGAATTATGATTAACGTAAACAGGAAATTGTATCTTTACTTTTAGAGAGTTAAAAATTAAGTATAAACGCAAGAATCCAGCCGTGTTTGATATTAATGGCTAATTTATTTTCTACTTTGTCATGCCGTGGTCATGTGACACTGTTTTAGTCTCGCAATAGCAAGTGTGGCGTGGAAACGACAGCAAAAACATGAAGATGAAGTAGATTGATTAACCTTATTAGAAGTAATCTGAGAAAGTACTGAATTTACTGTGTAGCAGTTATGACAGAAACGAAGACAGTTGAAATAGTTACATAAAACGAATAGTAGCGAATAATTCTCTATTCTGTTCTCTTTACATTGATCGATATGATAAACAGCTTTGTTCAGCAGACTTATTCATGCACTTATCCAGGTAGCTGCAAAATATAACAGACAAATTTACAGTCTAACAAGTACATATTTCTGCAAATGACGTTTTAAATGTGATTACTTGAATTTCCAGGAATTACAAAACTATTTTTGAATAACTTTTATTAATGTGTTATTCAGATACTTTTATGAATAGCTAAAATATATCAAATTACATATTATTGAGTAATAGCATAAATTAGAGGCCCCAATGTACCAATCAAGATCCTCAATCATCCCAAATTACTTCCAAAACTATATCAATGGGGGGGGGAGCTCCGTAATCGAGAAGATAAAAACAATTAGGACACCCGACTGTGGTACCTTAGCACGTGTGCCAAGTTTGTTGCCACTACCTTGTGAGTAGAGGCTTGAGCACAATTCCAAACATGGCGTTCCCGAGATTTCATAGCTTATAGTAGGGAGCTACGCCATACTGACAAGGCCAAGGACACCACCGGACCATCACGAGTTCACCTGTTAAGTTTGGTCCTGTGGAGAAGATAGCTGGACAAAGATACATAGATAATATAAAGCTAAACATATCGTCCTTGAGATCCAGAAGGGGACCAGCAACACAAAATCTGCCAGATTCAGTTTAGCGATCTTTAAAACTTACTCTTAGATCCCATCATATCTGGATGACAAAATTAGGAAGTTTAAGACTCTCTTAATAAAGGGGCTATGTCACATAGACAAGTACAACTTTTGGGCCAGAAGACGAATTTCGATATTGTTTACAATCGATGAAGCGACGTTTCATTTGTTGTAATGCTCTTCAGAGGAAATTGAGTTATAATGTTGATTTTGGAAGAACATAAATATCAGTCTCGAGCAAACTTAAGTTTGCCAAACTTTTATAAGCTAAATCTACTGCCACCAAAATCTTATCATATATAGAGTTTGTTGGTTCTAGGAGTCTTACATATAACTCAAGATTTTTTATTAGATTTAAAAAAAATGTTTTAACAGGGAACCGAAAAGCTAATAGAACCAGGCAACTAACCTTTTACAGACAATACGGGAAGATGTGATAACTTGTAGTGTAAAGATTATATCAGTTTGAAATTTCTTCCGATCCACAAAGCACAAACAGTGTTACACCACACTAGAAACCCCCACGTCTGATAACTTTAGCATTACTATAAAGTGCTTGCTTAAGCAAATAATCATATGCTTAAAATTACTTTTCACCTGCACAGAGAAACATGTTTAATTTGGCTGTAGTGTTGTGTTAATTACAAAAAGAGAGTTAAGGTTTAAATTTTGACTTTATGGAAAAGTATTTGCATATCATTCACTACCATATATGATAGGAAATAAGTAATAAGAAAACTATTAAAAATACTGTGTCTAAAACATAATATGATACATGCATATATCATTTATAGAAATGTAAAGAAGAAACCAAAAGCGTTGTGAGAAGAACACGCGTGTCAGATTTAATTAAAGACGGTTATGTTAAACAAGGAAACTTTTCGTGCTGTTGATTAAAGACATGAGAATAAACATAATATGATACATGCATATATCATTTATAGAAATGTAAAGAAGAAACCAAAAGCGTTGTGAGAAGAACACGCGTGTTAGATTTAATTAAAGACGGTTATGTTAAACAAGGAAACTTTTCGTGCTGTTGATTAAAGACATGAGAATAAACATAATACAGTAAC